TTTACCTTGGGTCGAACGCCTTTCCCCTTAAAGAATACAACGCCTCTCAAAAGCCTTACTATTGCAAGTACTGCAGCTGTTGTTTTGACAAAAAATTTTCAAAAAAAGATCTTTTGGGACACTTTAAGTCAAAAGTCTACACACATTTAATTGAAAATTGGGAATCTTTAGGCAAACGATACGGTACAGCACACTTGCAATAGTTCACACTCTGTCAGAAAATAAAAAAACGCAAAATCATGTCACTTTACAATTTCATTCAGAAATCAGGTCGGTAATCAAACAAGACTTGCGATAATGAAGCTTTTCAGAGGCGTGATGCTCAATAAAACAACAAAATAAGTAGTATACAAAATTTGATGAAAACATCGCAATAAAAAGTAAATTTCGCAAGCGACAAAATAATTACTATAAATACAGAACAAGAAAAGACGTTTCGGCCTACTCTCTAAACATAAATGACAAGAGGGTACATTGCTAAATGAAACACTGACAAAATATATATACAGATGAAAAAACTACAATCCATGCACTGAGATGTGATAAAAGGAAAACTGTAAATTAAATTACAAAACCGCAATGATGACCTGAATTGTCTAAGCCAAAAGTTGCACCATTCCACATCAGAATGGTTTGAGAATTTTCGGTTCAAAAGGCAGCTTTGACGTTGCAGCCCAGAACAAACCCAAAGACATTTTGCCTGCTTGCCATAGGTGGGATAACATTGACAAAAATTGTGAGAAATACCAGGCGGTTGGTTAGGTCTAAAGGAACCCAACAACGATTGGCATTGTGAATAAGCTAGTCAAGGACAGAAGCATAAGACATGACCACATTAATTAATCAATGTACTGATATGTATAGAGACGGGACACATGATCTGCACTGAATAATCGAAGTATTTAAAAAAAAAGGAAAACAAATTAAGTACTACAAATGGTCTTAAAACACTGAACATGTGACATGGGTTTGAGACCACCTTCAGTATTTGACCACAAGACGTCTCCCACCCCCTTCTTTTTCTGCTTGTTCAAGTTCAGAAAAAAAGACCATAAACACAATAATGGACATTAGGTGCTTGGTAAAAGAAAAACAGATAGACAGAAATAAACACAAGGACTGTAAAAAGTAGGACCCATCAATGACACCCTCGGCTCCAATCACCTGCTTCTGCATTCCCCTCAAAACAGGATAATGAAGTTTATAAGAAACTCAATAAAGAAGACATCTCATATAGATAGTAACAATATATGACTATACAAACAACAGTCCGTTGAAGGCTGGGAACCCAACTTGATCAAGCCTAGCCCAACCCCCCCCCCCCCCAACCAATCCAATTAATTGTCAATGTATTACATTCCTACCATGGGTGGTCAGCTGGCACTTAGGAGTGGTTTGCTCCTTTCTTTTCTGTAAAACATGTATCATCCTTATCACTCATCCTTTTCTTGTACTGTATGTCACTCCCATTTCACACCTCTAATCTTTGACACTTACAATACATGGCCTATTTGTGCTGCAGGAGCCAGAAATCTCTCATTAAAACAAACTAAAAAGCACAGCTCCATCAACATAAATTGGAGACCAGCTGGTCCCAGCGTGCCTGTCAGGGCAAAACCAGGCCAACAGGAATACAGCATCCCACCAGAAAATTACCTGAGAACATAAACTTTCCCATGAAGGAATCGAAATGACATTTTTGAGTGCAAAAATATCAAACAGCCAGCCCAACAATTCGGCCACAGATGCGGGTTCAACTGACTGTAAATGTTTAACACTGTCATGAGTGTACATCAATAGCTTGGACCTAATCGGCCAGCTGTGTTGTAACGCATCAAGGTCGTAACGTGACCCTCTCGTAAATAAATAAACAACTTCTGTTACTACGCATTCTCACAGGTCTTGTGTTTGTTTGTGAGCACGTTTCACAATTATTCGTCAAGCTGTAAACAGCTAGAACGTAACAAACACAACCATAGACACAATTTAAATCATGAAGTAGGTGGGCGGCTTTCACCCTGCCCAAAAGATCCTGTCCAGACTGAACAGAACACAGAAGCCCAAAAGAAAGATGAAGTCACTCAATAAAACAACCTTCACACAAGAATCAAACTCAACCACTTTGCAAGCTAACCAACAGATGCCCGTTTGAGCTGCTATCTTAAGAACACAAAAGCTAAAGAATCAACAAGCCACCAAAGCCCAAGAGCAGAATAAATATGAATTGCCTTAAATCAGCAAGACAAGTTATGAAAATGGCTAATCAAAATTGTGCCTTATCCACTAAAAATGCCTATCACTATCAGTATTAGTTCAATTACTATTAGTCAGTTTAACTGAGATACCTATGTTAATTTCCTTTGTTAATGAATTTCAATGATAATAGGCCGTCAATGTCAACGAAGAACTTTCAATTCTGTTTAGATTTTGAACTCAGATTTTTTAAAAAATATTTGACGGGGGGGGGGGGGGGGGTACATTGTTCATTGTTTTTCATATTGTTGTGTCATTGGACATTTTTCAAACTAACCATAATGGCCCTTTTTCTAAACCTTGCTGGTGGTGGCTCACTTACTCTTATTCTAAAAATGTACATACGGCCCAGCTAGGAGTATAAGTATGATAATTCAGATCAGTTTTTTAATTCATTGAGTCACCCTTTTTCTCTGGAATTGTTTTCCTTCCTGCGTATGGTGGATAGAATTCAATTTTGGTCAGTCAAAATGGAGCACAGAGGGACTTACATATTGGGCTATAATTATGCACCAGATAAAGCCACAACAGTGTTTCATACCTAACTAGAAAGGGAATGAATGAATATAAAATCAGAATATGTAAACTGCCAGGCCAAAATATCTATTCAAGGCGATAATACAATCCAGACCGAAAATAAACAATGCAACAAAATAAGTCAAATTTGCGAATCACCAACAAAGTAAAACGATAAATTACTAAGGAACTATTTTTAAAGTATGAATTATTCAATCTATATATTTACTTCTGAATATGCGTAATTTTCATTGTTAAAAAACAAATATTCGCAAAATTACATCCGCTTTGGTAGAATCCCAAAAAACAAACAAATATGCACGATTCAAAAACCGCCGTTATCATTCCAACTATCAACAAACCAACTGAACAGTTGGAGAAAATCCAACATTTATTTATAGAATACTAGTCCCACTTTGAATGTACTGAGTCATTTTTGGTGTTTAATTGGAAGTAAACTACTGCATTCTCATGGGGAGGTGACATCGGCCACTCAGCAAAACCAGACCGGCTTACTGGCCAACGCCACCGACCACTTGGAGACAATGGGTTAACAAAGAGAGAGAAAATCTATGCATTAACTATCAGGCGCAAACCATTTTTTCATTGCTATTTAGACATATTAAATCAATTTAGTGTCAGAATCTGGAATGGACCGGTGGAATGAATTTCATTCTTGTAATTTATCAGCAAAAAATGTTTTTTATATTTTAAACCGATGACCTCTAGTTGAAATACACATATTTGTTGATTCAACTAAAAACATCTACCAGTTGAGTTTATCGAACTGAAAAACAGCGACTTGTTTGAAATCTCAAGAGTGAAAAATACAGAGAGTATAATATGGGTTATGTCTCTAGATCATATTACAATCACAACACCCAGGTACACCTTACTTTTTTATGATTATCCAAGAGTAAAAAACTCACATAAAGATAATTAAAATTAAAACAATAGTAAGCAAAAGGAAGACGAAACAATCACAGAGGTAACAAGGATTGCCAGCCAGAAGCATGAGCCAGTCTCTACAAAGGTTAAGATCCCGATGTCCGATACCACAAGTTCAACCAGAAAAACTCTCACCATTTTGTGCACCCTGTGACACACTTTAGATCAGTTTTGGAGGTGGACTGCTTTGACCCCATGTCTCAGATTCAACTCGGGCTTAGTGGGATACAGTGCCCCGGCAGAAATATCAAGAGGCAATAAACTAGATTATTACTTTCATGAATTGAACTAATATCTTCTGCACGCCATGGTGAAGAGCTGAATAACTCTGCCACATATATGCCCGCCAGCCAGACTTTAGGTTAACTTACAAATCAAGCACAAATAAAACAACCAGTGAGGTATACAAACAAGAACTGAGAATGACGAAAGGATTGGGAAATAAAAATAGGTGACGCATCGTGGTGAAATCAGGCGCTCGTCAAAATAATGAAATCGAAGAAAAAGGCATTTCCCCTCCAGTTTGACAATTTTTATCAGAATTTTGTTTTTTGGCTAAACACCTTTTATGTTCATATGAAAACACATTTCCACAAATTTTTACTTAAAAACCTTGCTCAAAGGCACAAAAAATGTAGTTCTCAAGTTTTCTTAAGCTACTGAAGTTACCAAACTTTGGCGGCCATTTTCTCGCTAATTTTACTTCTGAAACCAGGCGACCCCCACCTCTTTCAATCGCAAATACCTCGACTTCTATTATTCAAAAGAAATGAATATTTTTTTCATGGAAAGCAAGGCAAATGAACAACCTTTAAGAGGACACGAATAACTCCATATGCCCAAAAATTGGCGAGCACCCGATTCCACTGCGTCGTGACACATATATATGTCAACTGTTGGTATTCTACACCAAAACATACTGCAGTCTAAGACCATGAATGCAAAAAAACAAAACAAACCCCCCCCCTAAAAAAACAACAACAAAAATTACATTCGACAATGGTAAGTGTCAAATGTGTGAACTCCATAGTGAATAAAATAAATATACATGGTACGAAACATGAGAATTAAGAACAGTACATGTGTACTCCTTTTTTTCAACCCACTAAAGCACACTTTCTTTTGACAGTGCGCACGCAAAAGTTGACAGTTGTCCAAATAAATAAGCCACAAAACAGCAGTTTTTGCTGTAAAATGTTTAGTAAAAACAAAAAGGACCATAATTCAGAGTCCTGTAACAAAAAATTAACAATAATTATTATTACGAATTGACAACCCTGTGATAATTCTCTGAAATAATTTATTGGGAGTATGACTTTGCTTTATTTGTTACACACAGGAAATAAGTGTAAAAGAAAACACTCGCAAAATCTGGCAAAAAATAATGTCTCAAACTTATAAGAAATCTTATTCTTCACCAATGTATTGTAATTATAAAACCAAAGACAAAACACTAGTGCACAAAACTCCAAGAGAATTTAAATAACATACAAAACATATTCGTAAGAGATTCAGAATCTTTGGTTCTTTGACATAATTACGTTGATACACTCAACTGACTATTGTGTCACTTTGAGTAAACATTAAATGAGCTAGAACTTCTACCCAATTCTGTCATTCACCAAGACAGGCCCTAATTTCTCTCCTGCAGGGGGTATTTATATCTCTTATACACTGCCATTTCCAAACTACAGGACCTCTGACAGCAACTTCTTCCTCCAATCCCTACAAGTAATACCCTATACTGCAGCAAAGATCAAATGTCGAAGACCTCTAACTTTTTTAACATGACATTGGGCCAAACGGCACATGCTCAAAGGCCACTGGATTAACATCAACAACAACATACATTGCCCTTTTGATAAATATAGCAGTCTGGCAACTGGCAGACAACCACACATCAGGCCTGAACATGAAACCACAAATCTCAACATTCCCTACCAAACGAAAAGCTTGAGACAAAAGTGAAAGTAGTTCATTGGGTGAAGGGAAACTGCCTCAAACGCCTTGGTTAGTGTGAAACAAAAATACTCTAAGATACTACAGCAGTCTCTGCCTAAGATCCCACCACTCATGATCCCAGTTCACAAGATCCCCCTGTTTTAAGAAAACAGATTTTTTACGACACAAAATTTGTCTTTAAGATCCGGCTCTAAAGGACTATATTCGGCTAAGATTGTGCATTTTAGATAATAATTTACTGAGTGAATGCGACCACATCCCCACCGTAAATCTCAGTGAGTGGGTACAATCTTTGCCCCAGACGGGATCAGGCTGAGGTGTAAACTCATCGCACAAACATCGCACCCACGTTTGAACCAACAGCCTGACCTTGCATCACATGCTGGGTGGGTGGGTGGGAAGGATGACAAAGCCAAATCAGATAGGATCACATCGAACTGTGAATTCATCTGTGAACTGTGAATTTGTCTGTACTTTGTTTCCCTGACAATACATTTTTCTTTCAGTTCTGAAACTGAATTTGCTAGACAGACTGGCATGCACACTTTGCTGAATGTGGTCATCAGTTGGCAGTGAGCCTGCCTTTTGTTCTACAAATTTTAATTGGTGTGGTCACAACAAAATGCGATAGGACATGAGCGGGGAACTGGGTCAGAGATGTAAAGCCATACATTTTATTGGGCAGGTGAAGGAGAGGAGCAATGCAATTGACCTTGATCTTGATATCCACAATTGCACGAGTGAAAAATGGCATACCTCATTAAATTAAGAGGCCATTGTTTTTGGCGAAAAAGGTTAGCCACTCTTTGCTCCCCATACGTTTTAGCCCACTTTGACAAGAAATTGATCACTGAAAAGACCTCTTGATAGCCAGGGATCACGTCAGATCATTTCAAAGTAAGGGGAGATCTTTTTGCTGATTGTGGGCCTAACCATGAGTCACCATGCACCCCCCCCCCCTATTAATTCTGCTAAGATCCTGTTTGCCTGGGACCCTGCATATTCCTTGCTTCCAAGCATTAAGCGGACATTATTTTATCTTAAAAAAGATGGCATGTAGTCCTGAAGGAATCCTGATATTGAATTTCAAAGAGGGAAAAGTTCTTTCTAAAAACCCAAAGCAGGATAAGACAACCAATTTCCTTGGGAAATTCAAAGTAGAACTGTAGTCCTACTAAAAAACAAAATATCAACCCTTTATACAAACGGCCAAGCTTGTCAGCGCAAGTGGAGGTCACAGGTCACAGGTCACAGGTTTGGATGAGAAACAACTGAGCAGTGGAGATGGGCACCTTTGCATGGCAGAGAAGTAGGAAGCGGCAGTCAGGATTAAAAAAACCACAACGGGTAAAGTAAGACAGTAGAATTCAATGGTAATTTATAAAAACTCTCAAGACAAGCAGATGCAGGAGAAGAGAAAAAAAAAAGAACTTTTCTGTCAGCATGAATGATTTCAGGGTATAGAAAGTGGTAAAGGTTTTTTCATTAGCACAATGCTGTTTTTCATATCAGGAAGCAAGACAGACTGCTAACTAAGTTAAAAATTCAGGCCACCGTAAACCACTACATGTTCGGTCAAATCTGCTCTAATAGCCACCTGTCCACGACAATCACCAGTACAAAAGACCACTTTCCACTTCCTCCCCTGCATTTTTCCTATAATGTTACTGTCCAAGTTGTCTACCTGTCTAAGACAATCACTTTTTTCCTGACAATGGATGGCTGTCTCAGCCAAATGCTCTCTATAAACACAGGTTCAACAACATGTTTCAAAACTCCAAACACAAACACTTGCATAACAGAATTTTGGAAAATGAATATATGTAGGATTTTCAAAAAATAGGGCTCTCGATTTGGCAAGTTAGAATAAGAACAGCCACATTTGGCTAGAAACAAATAATGACAATTCAGCAAAACTAAAATGAAGCAGAAGGAGTAGACTTATCTGGAGCATCCACCAACCACCCACTAGCAGGTAAACAGTAATTATTTGGCAAGTTAATTTTCTTTAAAATTGTTAACATTGCATGGAATGTATGAGACCATCTTGTTGACAATGCCATGTGGAAGTAAGCATTTCCCTTCTAATAAAACTCTGAATTTTATTATACACATTCAGTCAGTGGCCCCACTGGCCAAAACGCTAAACTAAATGCAAACGTTTTTTCATAAATTACTTGTGTTCCTAACAAGTATCCCAGTGAACGAATTGTATTTTAAACACAGCCGTACAACCCATATTATAAAGTATTTTAGGATCAGCCAGAATATATTTTACCCATATGAGGTCATAGAATCTTGACAGTGTCTTGACCGCCCGTAAGAAACAGTTTATACTCTGACATATAATCAAAATAATCTAAAAACATAGACACATGGGGCATGGTTTCATACAGAATTTGATCCAAAAATTTGAAAATGACAGATTCTTGTGACAATGACACTCGTTCATTCTGTCTTCTCAAAAAAAAACAACTACAATGAAAGTCGTCTGTATGACATGGTCAGCCATTCTTTTGTCCATACATTAGTCATCTATGACAATCACAGACGTACGACCAGGTCTTGACGCCTCTGAAATGGACGAGATGAAAGACACATGATTACCAGTGGTATGTTGTGTCAACATATCACTCGACTGAGTACATAAAAAAGAAGATAACTGACAAATGTATGAATAAAAAACATCCGTTCATCACGCATGTCCCTAAAAACACACACAAAAAATTAGCATACAGAACAAAGAAAAATAAAAAAGGAAATCACAGCTGCAAATCATTAAAAAGCCTTTTCACATCTAGTTTTAAAATGACCAAAAGCACTGGATAAAAGCTTACCAGATGCATTTCTGAAAACTGACCCACAAAGGCAAACAAATTCATGAACAACATTGAACATAGCAAAGAAAGCATAACTTTAGAGAGTCTTCTTTAATTACCACCTTGACAAAGTTGAGAAAGACAGAACACACCAAAAAATAAACAAAGTCTCTTTCTCCCCCCCCCCCCCCCCCCCCCCCAGTAAGCTACTCCTGTTAATATATAACAATTTTGCATTTTGACTACATGATGGCAATTCAATATTTTGGGACATTGAACTCTCTTACAAGCTCTGTCTTAGATCTTTAACTTTAATGATGACTTTCACTCCAAAATAACACTTGCTGCAGAGAACAGACACATTTTTCATATTCTGTTTCAAACCATTACACCTCATGAGATCATAGTGTACAGTTGTTATGTGGTAATATCTTTCTCAACAGGCGCCATATAAGAGGGAATCAGACAAAAGCTGACTGACAGAGCTGCTTAAGGAATCCAGCAATTTGTGTTCTTTTCCTTCAAACTTGAACTGTTGATCAGTTGATAACAATCCATGGGGAGAGGTAGGTATCGGGCAGAGAATAAATCAACCAAAACTTAACTGTAACAATTCCTCGACAGCTTTTGACAAATAAAAAAAAATCTGGTGCTGACACTGACAGAGAAAGAGGAAAAATTTTAAGACATTCTTAAAAATGTGGGGGAAAAAAAGGAACAGCTCAAAAATAAAATCTAAATGAACTTCTATTCAACATTCTGTTTAACAGTTTAACCAGTTAAACCTATGACAAAAAAAGAAAAAGGAGAATAAGAAAAAATCTAACACACAGCAAAGTATGAAATAACAAATGCAAAAGAATTCAATATTTTAAAAATTTTGTAATACGAACTTTTCAAAGAACAAATCCTTTCATGAGATGACAAATAATTATATAAACAAAAAATCTAAAAAACAAAAAACAAAGCAAAATTCTCTACTGCACTGTAAAAACAAATGCACCTAATTCAAAGGGAATTGCAAGGGAGCACACAAAAACTCTGCTTCACTATGCTAACCCAGGTCCTCCTTCAGCCTCCCTCATTGACATCAAATATTTACACAACATCCAACTTTCGCTTTAAGTCAGTCATTCATTGAGACTCGGAGCTCTCAAAGTCTACATGGAAACAAAATATATTTCCCTTTAGACAGGTTCAATTTAAAACGAACAAGTGTTTCATATTTCAATCAGGATGCATTTCTGCCTTCTGCAGGTTTATCAGTAGGCCTACAATGTTACTGGAACAGATTTCTGCCTCGGCTAGTGCAACAGTAATTTCAGAGGCATAACAGCAAACCCTCAAATAAAATTAACATTTTTGACCTCTATGATTCACTCTCTATAAACACTCATAATTAAATGGCATACATCGTGCGGACAGTTTTAGGTCCAAACAGCTGGCTTAAAACCAGGAAAAACAATGTTAACAAAATAAGTACGAAAAAATTCTTTAAACCATCTTCAAAACATGGAACGATTCATAAAATTGTACTTGTGAAAAAGCCAGGCAAACACTAACGAAAGCATCGAAAGCAAAGCAACGGCGAAAAAAACAAATCATTTGAAACAAAAAAGATAAAAGAACGCTTTAAACTCTTCTAAAGCAGAAGCAGAATCTTAAAATATAAGCATTTGTGGAATCAGAACTGTTAGCAGCAGAACCTTTCACCCACTGTGGAAAGTTCAAGCTAAAACATTCTTTTCTGAGCATAACTAGAGAATTTTGTCATGGACTTAAGCAGTTGTCACAGTCTCTCTTGAAAAGAAATATAGCCTTTAAGCCTTATACTGTTCCCACACAAACAATTATTTACAATCGATAATGGCTTAAGAAATCTAGAAACACAGAAGGTGTAAAAAAAACTAAAAAACAAACCCAAACAAAAACACAGCTGCATATTTTACTCATTGACAACAACACAAAAAAAAGTTATATCAACTCTATCCATGTTGCCCAATTGAATATATGCGCTTCAACTTTTCATTAATCATGATAAACCTTATCCATATTTATATTTTCAAAGAAAAACAAAACAGAGTCAAAAGTATTGCTAAGTTGGTTAAACCGTTTACTCTTTCCATTTTCTCATTTGAAAAAACCTGCACTAAATAACTGTTACTGTAACTACGAACTTCTCTTTACTAATTAAAAAAACCCAACTAAATCATCCTTTAAATTACTTCCACTACCCAGAAATGGAATAATTTTTCTAAATGGAAACAGGGTGAGAGGTCAACAGTACCAGTTCAGACTCCAATCACAATAACAATGATCTCTGGGGTTGTTTTTCACTTGCAATAAAAACAACTTAAAAAAAACAAAATTAACACATTTTCATCATAAAACAACAGGTTGTGGTCAAACATGTAATAACAATAGTCACTCTAAGGGCAAAAAAGAACTGTGCGATTTAAGTATCTCATTTCTTGTGTTTTGAATGTTGTTCGAGGCAAGACACTCCAGTGGATTTTTTGCTTCCAAAGCCAATGAGACAATAAATGTACATTCACCTAAAAGAAACAACAATTTTCCTAAAGTGAATTATACAGGAACTTACACCAAGTATGGGGGGAAAAAATTTAAGATAAAAACAACATTGCAATTTTTTGTTTAGATAAAAGAAGTGTGATAGAAACAGTCTATGGGTCATAAAACACTGTTAAAAGAATTTACTTCTGCAATGATCTACAATATTTCAGAGCAATACAGCACAGTAAAAGACAAGTTTACATCAAGTTCAGAGCTCCACATGTCTCTAAAAGTGACCCTGAGAGCAAAATGAGGTGGTGTATGGTGGACTACATTCATTAAAAACAAGACTTCCGTGTCTGTTTTTTTGCTGCTCTGCTGAGCTCAGTTTTCCAGACGAACAATTGCACACATCTGCATAATATCTGTAAAAGAATTACAGTGGTACACAAAATAAAAATCTGTGGATAATCAGTCGTGACTCTAATACTTACCACTTGCAGGATCGGCTGCATACGACTGTCTTTCATGGTTCAGCTTCTGCACAACATTTTCTAATTTCTGCTTCATGGGTGGCCCGCCTAGTGGAGTGTTCATCGGCCTCTTCTGAGGTCCACCCAGCGATGAGTGAGACCCCGGATGGTGGACGACTGTTGATGATTCTGAACTTAAGTCATTAACACATTTGGTGAACATGTAGTTCAGCTGAGGGAAATACTTCTCTAAGTCATCCACACGAACAATTTTGTTGCACTTCAACTTCTTCACTGGTAGGTTGTAATACTGGACAAATGCTGCCTCTTCCTCATCAGTACATTCATAAAGTTGAATCTGAAGAACCATCTGTTAAAAAAATATATATTTATACAAATTAACATTTCAAAAGAACACAGACTTGTTTTGTTTTTGTTTTGTTCTTTTTTGCATTATGCACAAAACTTTTTTGGGGTCAAATCAGCTTTAATTTCCAGAAAAGTAATATGCAGCTTTTATTTTTGGCTTCAAATACAGTAAAATGATATACGTATATTTTTTAAATTGTGCCACCATAACACGACAGCACATCTCTGATTTCTCTGACTCTGATCCTCAAAGCAGAAGTGTACAAACTCACACTCTGTACATCATTTTCAGGTGCCATCAACCTACGCAAAATAAAATAAAAAGTACACAAAACAATACCCAGAAGATCAGTCTCACACCCATTTCATTATAATTTCCAAATATTGTATCAATTAGGAACAGGCGATCTATCTCAAATCAACAACTTTAAATTCATCATTAATTTGGGTGTATCTTTATCATCTTACTTTAGAATCAATTTGACCACAACATTATCCCCATTTTAATATTTACACCCTTATAGATTAAAAATATAAATGTCATGGTCAAATTAACGAAGACCACCAATTTTTTTAAAGACGTTCAAAGAGTAATTATGTAACCTTCCAATAGCAGTAACTGGGAGCTTGTCATTGAGATTAAATACCAAAGTCAAAAATGCACAGAAATTGTAAGTAAGAGCACCCTAAAATTTTCATTTTCTCCATGTCCTGCAAAGAAATTGAGGGCATCCTTGACATTGATAATAGGCAGACTTAAATCTTTTTGACTGCCTCTGCACACTTCACAGAGAGTGTCCAGTTCCGATCCTTTCGTTTCAACACACTTTCACTCACTACAGCAGGCAAAAAGGACTAAGGGATTTAAAGAACAAAAAACAAATAAAAATCTACCCCACAAGTTCCTTCATGCAACTCATAAAAGAAACAAAAACATGGACTATAGTCCTTAATACTCACCTGAATGACCTTTACAAATTCCACAAGAGGCACACTGGGAAAGTAGAGCTTGGACACTGCTTCCACCAGGCAGAAATTCCCGATTCTATAGCCAGAGTTCAACTGAAGGCAAGAGATGCTCTTGCCGTTCACGAGACAAGCCGATATCCTCGAAGACAGGTTCATGCGATTTACACTGTTATTGCTACTTGACGGCGTGGCAGGCCATGATGACTGGGAAGAACGCCTGTCATAAACAGACCTATCCTGTCCGCCTGACGACCTGTTAGAATGAGCACTGTGTGTGGAGATATTACTGCTCTCTGCTGCATGCAATGGTGAATCTTGGCTGCTTTTTCTTTTGGACTTTGGTTGAGATAGAGAGTTGTTGTTATCAGCAAGCTGTTTCTGAAACAGAGAGCTGTCAAACTGATTGGTACCAAATGAATGGGATGCCAGAAGAGATGGAACTTGTGGCAAGCCTATCCTAGGAGGCGGGTACCTGATATTTGACATGGTAGAGCTCAGTCCAGATCCTGAAGGGGACGAGTGAAAGATAGGATGGTTAAAGTCTTGAACGCTCGGGGCAGAACTTTTCATGAGTACATGTGCAGATAGACTGGAAGGAGGAAGACTAAATGGTTTATATGGCAAAGGCGACTGAGGTCCTGGTGACAATGGTAGATTTTTCTGCGTCATACTAGGCCGTGAGCCATTGCCCATGTGGGCTGGAGGAGGCCCTTGCGACATGGAGCTCCAAAATGAACGAGATGCATTCTGCATGCCCATATCCAGGGCCCTGGCTTCTGACGGCTGAGGCATATCTGGTGGGCTGTGAAGTTTTTGATGAGCCATAGTACTGTCAGCACCTGGTCTCACTGGCACATGACCTGGACCGACAAAACGTGGGACACCACCTATCTGAGTTGAAGGCAGGCCCATGGCATGGTGTCCCGGCATAAATGGGTTGACAACGCTCGCCATAGCATTGGCCATAATCTCCATTTTTGAATGTGGAACAGATGATTGTACAGGGGTTGATGGCAAGGGAGGAGATGACACCATTGGGACCGGTTGTGACATCTGACAGCGTAACAAACAAGACGAAGGGTGACCCGACCGAGGGTCAAGGTAACGAGCATACTGAAGAGGATTCTTAAAAGGCAAGTCAAACAGTTGAACCTCACACCTTTGGAGAACCTCCTTCAAAGGAAGAAGTTTGGTATTTTTCCCAAATGTGAAACTAACTCCGGCTGCTTTGCAGGTCTCGTTGAGCATGGTACACTCTCGCACAGATGCTGACAGGCCTTCCACATTAGAGTTACTAAGAAGTCCAGCAGCATATATGATCACATGCATTGGAACCATTTTCATTTGGGCACCTGCTTCCATCCTCAGTATGTAAGGAGACACTGTGTTGTTGATTTGAATCCATCCACAGAACTCAGACAAATCAGGTTTGACCTCAGACGTCACCACCTCTGAACTCTCATGACTGATTTTAGCTAAAATATCGGCAGGAAAAGTCTTCTTCACTATCTTGAAGAATTCTCCAAATTCACTCAAATTCACAATCAGGTCTTTGACTGTGAAAGGATTGCGACCATACTCGTAATCGCAATGAGCTGTGTTGATTTCATTCAGCAGAGTGGCTTCCGCTTCAGTGATGAAATAGCTAATCAAAGGGTCTTTTTTCCCCAACTCATCAGGAAAGGTGTTTGGATATTTGCTCAGGAGTTTGCGTTCAACAATTCTGACTGAAACAAACTTCTTCCCTTTCCGAAGAATATAAGGAATACTTGTTCCATCGATTGTCTCCCAACCAAATATACCCTTGACACTTTCACTGTCAACAGGTTCTTCCGGCTCACCGTCTTTCGCCTCTTTCGCATCACTCTCCTCTTGATTCTCCACAACAGCACAATCTGCAAAAGATTTTTAATCAAATGTTGCGTCACACTCTTATTATAAATTAATAAATATTGCTGTCTTCAAAAGCAACATATTTTTATTTTTAATGTGGCAATAGAAAAAGGAAAAGGGTGTAGTAGGAACAAAACATCTTACGACAAACTGGCAAAATAAAATGTCAAAACCAAAAGACTTCACTTGGTGTCACTTGCATGACACTATCGCACTAAATATCAAATGAAACTGCACTGAAAACGAATAATTCCTGACCATTAGGTTCGGAGGATTTAATATACAAATACATTTCCATTAAAAACTAGCAGTCTTCTAAACGTAATATCTAATTTATGTCATAACAAGACTTGTGACCAACAAATTTCATTCTGCAGACAACCTTTCTTAGTGTAGTGATAATCATCCTCCTCCATCACAAATATTCATATGTATGGCAAAGATACACAGATAGAGATAGAAAGGGGAACAAAATTGAAAGAAGCTGTTTGTCCATTCATTTGAGCTACAGTGAAGCAAAATTTCACAATAATGGTCCTACTGAGGTAAGAAAAACAGAGACACTGACAGCACAGGTGGAAACAAAAAAATGCAAAAAAAGAAGTCAGATCTTCCAGTATCACCTTCCAATCATCTGAAGCACACTAAACACATATATGGAAAGTAAAGGAGGAGCTAGAGGATGAGAAGGTTGAGGTAGCAAGCAAGTAGCTTTGGCCTTGTGTCTATCAGGGCCAACAATGTTGGTTGCAAGGGATACAAACTGGCAAAAAAGACAGGAAATATTCAATAAAATATCTTCTAGTTGTTGGAATCGAACTTACAAGACAAAGATGGTGAAAGAACGAAAGGAAGGAAGAGGAGGAAAGTGATACAGTGAGAAGACAGTGACAAGGGCGGTACAGATAATGGACAAAATGTGTAAGTTTTATGGCACTTATAATGCAAATAGGTCAAAAAGAGCCACAGATTAGAAGTGTTACAAGAGAGTAACATACACAGGAAAGAAGGGGAGATATGGACAATAGATGTTTGATAGGAAAGAAGGAGCAAACCACACCAGCACAACCACCAGCCACCCACATCGACAGTTTACTGCAACAGGTGATGTACATCTTTCCAATTCCTACAGAGCCCAGGCTGTTCAATCCAAATTACCATCTCAGTTCCCCATGGGACTTTCTTCTTGGCACCATGTTAGCTAAAGGTGTTCAAAGCAATCAATCAAATACTTCAATACATGCCAAACAACAGCTGAGTGCTCATTTAGAGCTGCAGAGCACAGCTGAAAATCCCTACCTTCCCACAACTGAAAGTCTGCCTCCGTAATTGCTGAAACCAAAAAGAGGTGCTGCAAGACAACGAATGTTGTCAAATGTAACACAGAAAATTGTGAAAAAGACAGAGAGGAAAGAATAGTAGTGTTGATGCCAGAAGAGGAGTTGGACAATAAAAAAGAGCTTGCACAGGGCTGATGATGAACAACAACAAAAATCCAATGAGTCAATGAGTGTCCTTGATTCTGCATACTGGAACACAGCATGATGACAGAACATTACCTGGATCACTGAACAAAGATGAGTTTGCCATTGCAGGATTTTGATGATTCAACTTCTCTTTTGACTCCAAATTCACTTTCTCCATCATTTTTCTGTGCTACGGACTATATACTCTGGGTAGTACCTTTATTGGTACTTTCCTGTAAAAGTGAAAGCCACATGAGTAACATTATAATTATAAATAAGATCATCACTGGGACCCATACCAATAAAAACCATCATATTTTTTCTTTAACAAACAAAAACACAAAAAAACAACCCATTAATGAATCATGAAAGGAACTACACCCCAAACTTAAAACAATACATCTGGTATCAAAAGCAGTCATTCAATTTTTGATTAACACAGGTAGGGGGTTATCTGAGTTTTTTAAGCTGATCACAGTGGTTAAATTAAACTTTAACAAAACATGACGAAAGGAGGAACAGCTTAGCTTCACATTCTAGTACGAGTTTCAACATTTCTTTCAAAAAGAAAACAGACAAGACAGGCGGACAGAAGGACAGACAGACACAGACAAAGATGACCTGTGGATCCCAAGATGGCCCTTTGAAAAAACTCTGAAGGTTTAAAAGTAAAGGAAGCAAAAGGAAATAAGAATTAGATCAATTCACTCTCATCATCACTCAATTCAAAATGTAGATTAAACAAGTCAACCCACATTCTTCCTTTCAAAAAGTGCACCCAAATTAAATTATTTTGGTGGAGGAAAAGTCTGTGGGTGAGTACAAGATCAAACTTCAAAATGGTGCTGTTGAAACAAAAGGAAGCCACTCCCAGTATGAGGTAAACTTATATGTATGATCTTAAAATGATTTATTTTATAGGGAAAGAATTTCTACATACAATGTATCTCATTGAGATGAAAACGGGCAATATAATAAAATGCAATTAAAAACCCTTTGATCCCTGACCCCCAGCAGCTACCGTGCCCCTCTGCCTGAGCTTCTGAGTGATTCACATTCATATTCATCGGCAAAATTACATTCCGTCCCATCAGGGTAGTCCTTGTCATTACCAGAATCTAATTCAGAAAGACAACAAAATAATCAATGACCTCCTGTGTAGCTAACTGTTTTCCGGGCCTCTTTGGTCCCAGACGGGCCTCGCTCACCACTGTAGCCTACCGGTGGCTAGGCATACAGGTAATTTTACAAGGGCTCAAAGGATAGACCTAATAACTTTATCGACTTGTAAAGATAGCCTACTCACTCTCAAAACTGTTTAAATTTAACAAATGTGTCGCGACGTGGTGGAATCAGGCGCTCGTCAATTTTTCGGTACATGGAGTTATTGGTATCATTTAAAAGCCTATTCATTTGCCTTGCTCTTGGTGATAAAGTATCAGTATATTTAGAATAGAAGCCGAAATATTTGCGATTAAAGGAGGTCAGAGTCGTCTGGTTTCAGAGGTGAAATTAGCGAGAAAATGGCCGCCAAAGTTGGGTAACTGCTTGAGAGTCCTTGGAAAAAGAAAATAGACATTTTTTGTGCCTTTCGATGTTTTTAAGTAAATTCAACACAGAAATAGGTTTTAAAATGAATATAAAAGGTGTTTTTGAGCACAAAAAAAGAAAATTAGAAAAAAATTGCCCAACGGTCATAAATATGCCAATTTCTTTGATTTCATTATTTTGACGAGTGCCGAGCACCTGATTTCACCCTGATGCCTCACAAATAGACTCGAGTTTGAGCCCAGGCCTATACTGTGCATGATGTATGAGAAAAAAATCGGTGCATCCTCTCCGCACACTGATGAATGCACGCCTAAAGACTAGGTGTGGTTGAATAAATCTAAAGGATTATAACACCAGCCCTAATGTTTGTCCCTCCCAAGAGCTCAGACTCGGGTGCACAGGTCCTGTACTGTACTCTGTGCCTTAGGATCAGGCCTGGAGTTGAATTGCGTTGAACTGATTGATCATTGTAGTGGGCCTAACAGGAATTTGGCACTGGTTTAAATTTGCTTTCCCGTTTGTTTACACAGGCTAGGCCTATCGTGACCTTCCAGATGGGCGGTGCTGAAATTTTGGGCGATGGGCGTTCTTGTGTTCGTCTGTCTATTTTTGCAATATCGATACCTGTAACACTGTAAACGACATTAATTTGCTTCTTAGCTTATCGAGTTGATATCTTAAAATGTTCAAGGGGTTATCAAGTTGCTGAAACAAACCAACATGGTAGCAGAACGGCAAATCTAAACCAACGCCAGTACCAGGAATTTCTCCTGCACATGAAGATACTTTTAAAAAGTGAATTTCACTTTACTATTTAGGCCTATATTCCTATATCATCATATGTGAGGCATTTTGGTGAAATCAGGCGTCCGTCAAAATAACGAAATCCGAGAAATCTGTACTTTTGGGCCAGTTTGGAATTTTTTTTCAAATTTGTTTTTTGGGCTCAACACCTTGTACATCCATTCAAAAACACGGCAAATTTTTACTTTCACTCCAGCACACAGAAGCACTGCTTTGGGGGTCAAACTGCAGTACTAATTGTTCGCGGCAGATCACACATAAAGCCACCAAAACTGTCGCAAATCAATGATTTTCAAGAAAATTTCAAACCTAATAACAGTAAAATGTCAAAGTACAGGTTAAACTGTAGCCCCCCAGATTTTTTCTTATCCCAGGGGGGCAGGACTCCCTGAAACCTCCCCGATTGGTCCAAAGCGCGCAAATTACTACGTGGTTAGGCATTATATAGTCACATTAGTGTGATATAGCTCAATTAAGAACAATCAAATCTTTTTAAAAAATATTAATTAGCGATGGAAATAAAGTTGATATTCGTGTTCAGCGCATCAATATATAGTAGTAAATGGACAACTGGTAGCTAAGTGTGAGACGGGAGGGAAAGTAAAGGAAAACCAAAAACACTTTTATGTGTGGATTTTATGTAAAAATGTTGAAACTCTTGTCCTGCGTCTGTGCTGAGATGTGAATCTTATCAGAAACTGATTACGTCGGACGTTCCGGGCAGGCCATTGGGGTCACTCAGTGTGTACAGCGCGGGCGCCGGGAAACGTGTGTTTTCGCCATGAATAACGCTCTATCCTTCATAGCTTTCTATTTATAAAGTGTTACAAACACATGAATAACCCCCTCTCACAAGTTGATAAGACATTACACCCATTCGAATAACCTTTCTGGACGCTCTTGTTGTTATGAATGACCTGAGGTTCGAAAGGGGATAATTTAGGTCAATTTCCGAATGTTTTACACTCAAATTGTTCTTTGTACCTGCACAATGTCAAAACTATCAAACAAGCTTATTTTTTATCAGGTAGTATCATTTCATACAAAATCAAGCTGATTTGAAATATTTTGTAGAAAAATGGAAGTCTTGTTTCCTTACTTTCCTCATGTCTAAGTGGGTCAATTTCTTCTATAATTTCATTGGACATTGGACGAACATCTAGAGCTACCAACTTGGCATGTTTTGAATGAGACGTATGCCTCGATTACGAACCAACGCAGGCGGTTCTAGAAGAAGGCCACAAAC